ACGCACGCACGCACGCACGCACGCACGCACGCACGCACGCACGCACGCACGCACGCACGCACGCACACACACACACACACACATTCACACACACACACACACACACACACACACACACACACACACACACACACACACACACCACACACACGCACACACGCACACACACACACACACACACACACACCGCGCCGCCGCCGCCGCCGCCGCCGCCGCCACCACACCACCACCACCAACCACCACCACCGCCATCACGCACGCACGCACCTGGCCCACCACCAAACCACCAAGACGCCATACCACGTCACACCACAGCACACGCGCACACACGCACACACACACACCACCACCACCACCACCACCACCACCACCACCACCACCACCACCACCACCACCACAACCACGCACACACGCACGCACGCACGCGCACCACCACCCACTCCGCACGCGCGCGCGGAGCCACAGGTGCTACGAGACGCGTCCGCGGATAGAGAAAATCAGCGCCATGGTAAGGGATGGGAGGGAGGGGTAGGACGTCAGATATGACGCGAGCGCACGTAGCTTGCCTCCCTCCTTCCCTCTTCAACACCAGGCAATGCCATGTGATGCTATGCCATGTTGCGACATCCGATTGTGCGAATAGAGGGAAAATCTACGCCATGGTAAGGGACGAGAGGAGGGGCAGGACGTCAGATATGAAGCGAGCGCACCTAGCTTGCCTCGCCCCTCTCCCTCCCCCCCCCTTCCTCCCTCTCTCCCTCCCTCCCTCCTCGCTCCCCCTGGGGAGCCATCTGGGGCGCCCCGACGGGGCGCGCTGGGCGGGATGTCGCGCGGCAGCGCCAGCTGGATCTCCTTGTAGGGGCCCACCTTGACGACGGGCTCTCGGGCGCCCCCGGCAGGGCCGCCGCCGAAGCTGCCGCCGCCGCGCGCAGGCCTCCTGTCGAGGGCGGGGGCGGACGGCCCTGCGAGCGGTGGCCACGGGGGGAGAGGGGCTCTCCTCCTCCATCCCACCTCCCGGTACAGGGGGGGGGCCCATGCGAAGACACACCCTGCTTGACTCCAGGGCGCCGTGGGTTTCTTGAGGCTCGATGGCTTTGCTGTGAAGGCGTGACGCTCCCACACCAGAGATCAATGAACGTCCTGGGGTCTCAGGGTTGGGTTTCTTGCGGAAGGTGGACTGGCCTCCACTGTAACCAACTACGGATGGAGGGCGGGTCCTTGTGTAAATGTGGCTCTCGCCTTAGCGCCGTGAGCAGTCGACTGAAAATATTGCAACATCTTCAAGGATGTTCAAAATGTTTATGTCGCATTCACGCCGCGCGTTTTCGTTTTAAAAGTGCGCGAAAGTCCAAGGATGGAGGACAAGTCCATTTTAGAATGTGGCTGTCGACGTCGCGCCTCGCGCTCGCTTCAGCTTGAACGATAAAGGCGGCAGGCTCAGTTCCAAAAGTGTGGATCTCGCCTTAGAGCAGCGCTAATCTATCTTCGATAGCGCGCAGCGGTTTCAAGGGCTCGCAATGTTAAATCACATGAAGTGCGTTCTGGCACGATTTAGGATGGACAGGACGCAACGTTAACATTGATTCGCGGACGCAGCAGTTTTAGTGAGCCGCGGTTTTAAAAAGTCTTAAAAACGGCGATTTGGCAGGATTGCACATTACCTAACGGTTGTCTTCCCACGGGGCACTTCCCGCAATGAGTACATGTTTGTAGGAAAAAATGGGGACTTAGAGGGAGGGTGTATTGCAACGTCGTTGTTGCGCTTTGGGTTTGCACTGGCCCTCCTCCTCCATTTCCTCCTCCTCCTCCTGCTCCTCCTCTTCCTCCTCCTACTCCTCCTCCTCCTCCTCCTCCTCCTCCTCCTCCTCCTCCTCATCATCATCATCATCATCATCATCATCATCATGGCTCTTCCTGGTTATCCTCCTCCTCCTCCTCCGCATCACTCCTCCGCCTCCGCCTCCGCGTCCGCCTTCGCCTCCGCCCGCGCCTCCTCCTCCTCCTCCTCCTCCTCCTCCTCCTCCTCCTCCTCCTCCTCCTCCTCCTCCTCCTCCTCCTCCTCCTCCGGGCCCAGGGGCACCCGAGTGGACCCACAACCCCGCTGCAATGGGGGGCCCATGGGGTTTTGGGGTTGAGTCCCGGTCTCGCCACGCCACGGCAACAAACCTGCCGGGCCCAGGCCTCTCTCCTCCTCATCCTTTCCTCCTTCTCTCCTCCTCCTCATCCTCATCCTCATCCTCCTCCTCCTCCTCCTCCTCCACCTCCTCCTCGCCCCTCATCGCCCCCCCTCGTTCGTCCTCCTGCTCCTCCTCCCCCCCCTTCCTCCCTGCCCCCTGCTCGACATCCTCCTCCGCCTCCGTCTCACTCCATGTATTTTTCCTCAGCCTCCTCCTCACCAGCATCATCATCATCCTCCTACTCCTCCTTCCCCCCCCTTCTCCCAAGAGGGCTGAGGCGGAGGCAGGAAGGGGAGAAAGCCAGCCGATGCGAGGCAGGCTAT